AATGATCAGTGGACAGTTAAAATCTATATATATATTCATACTATATTTCAATTTTAAAGACAGGAGTAATCTCTTCATATAATAATTACATAAATAATTATGTTTTAAGCAAATTTCAAAAATCATTAGAAAATAAATGATAAGCCTCATTAGGCATATCGACAATATCCCTCAACATAATAATAAAGTCTGGTACTACTGAATTCTTATTGAGCATATATTTCTTATAAGTTCAGTGACAATCATTTGGAAATAGTTTGAAAATACCTATAGTCCTGGTAACGCAGACTTGTAATCAAAATTAGGAAACAATAATGATAAACAGACTGTAATTAATCAGGTTTATGTATTAGTAATTATTAAATGTCTATTCGAATTTCTCTAGGCATGAGTAAATTTTCAAGATAAGTTTTATTTAGAACTAATAGTTAAACTCATGTCAGTAATATCTCCATGATCGAAAAAAATAAACAATAATCTTTAGGAGTTTTTGAAACAACTACAAATTATGTAGTAAAAGTTACATTTTGGTTTGTTATCATGTAGTCTACATAAGAATGTTATTATGTGATCACATTATTTTACAACCGGATAACGTCGACAGGAGATTTACATGATAAATTTTGTGAAACCTATTTTTTTACATACATATAAAACTTTATGTTCTGTATAAATATAGTCCAGAATTAAAATAACGTGAAGATCAACGTAAAAGTGTTGTTGACTATTTCAACAAATTCAGAAAACTAATCATCAACCAGAGCTAACATGACACATCATCAATTTACTTACTTGTACAAATTGTATACAAACAACCATTTGTAATGAAGTCATAAAGTGACATATACTGCCAAAAGAAATGTTTAATTATTCAACCAGTTATGAAAAGATACAATTGTTCTTTTAGTTTATAATATTTTGAATGAGTTAAATATACAGACCACATATTAATGAATAAAAATCTAAAAATTGTAGATTATTATGATTAGAATAAAAACGCCTTACAGGGTTGTTTACTTTATGGACTAATACAACAGTATAGACGATTTTGAGAATTGTATTGAAGTGAATAGATTCAAACTCCCATTACTGTCTTGGATTTTTATTTAATAATCGAGGGCTTGTACGCAGCGAAGTGTATTCAACATCGATTTTATACTATGGTGAATGGTTTTCTAATTCAATATATAACGTCAAACCTGAAGTACTCACTTTAAGAAGTGCCTCATTTTATAAACAGAATTATTAGTGTCTCCCATTAGAGTGAAAAAGACGATGTGGATTTACACGGATAATATTTCAGCTTAATCACAAACGAATTTTTAAAGAGTTATTAAGCGGAAAAGTAGGAGGAGATAGAAAATGCTAAGTAGAGTATGATGGGGAAACATAGGTGACAATTTCATTCCTGAATACTGACAATCAAGAATTCAAGTTGAGACAGGATATTTATCAAGTAATCGTTGCGAATGATATAGTAATGCTATAGCGTTCTATTTAATTACAATTGGTGTTGCCGGTGTTACCAAATATATAAACGTTTCATGGTTTAACTAAAAAAATCTAAGAATAACGAAATACCTGCCTGCTAATATGTAAATTTAGACCACTTCAGATTAAAGAATTATCAGTAATCAGGATTCGTCTAATTTCACTGGGATGACAAAACAAGACATGATTCAACTTGACAATTCCGTTCCAAATATAAATTAGCATTTGATTTCACTGAAAGTAATTCCATTAATACAGATATGTTATTTAATACAGGTTCTAATCATATTTCGCATACACTATTTTATCTTAAACTTCTACAATGCTTAAAATACTCTTTCAGTTGATTAATTAGAATTTTAAACCAAAACACTTCCTTCTCAGATCTTATTCTTTACATGAAAACCTTAGCAGTTATTTATTGAATCTACAATAAACAAACATGAAATCACAGAATTTTGATATACATCTCCAAAGAAACGATAAACTAAAGTGTTTTCAAATGAATTGATGAAATCTGAATTCTACTGATATCATAGAAATAAATTAGAATTTTGATCATTCATTGATAGAATCTGCTGTTCATTAGTCAGTAGATCAAATTTTTGAAGCCAAAAAATATAGTAAACTATATGACTAGTAAATAACAATTTAAATGAACTATTAACGAATATATATTTCTTCGATTCTTTTGTTTAAAAGTTAATCGACTGAAAATTCTTTGTTTTTTCTACAAAAATTAAATTTTTTTATCCCTTTAACTGAATATTTAATGCGAAAAAACAAAACACAATTTACACTAAGTTATATTGATCTTTTCGTCAAATAGAACATGTTTTTCTGTAAGTTTATTTTCCTATCTTTCTGTGCATAAATATGTTACGTGTTTGTAACGAGAATAAGTCTTTCAAAATTGTAAAATAAACATCATTTGTTCGTTCTAAAATTCAACGACATATAATTCGTATAACTGTGATCATTATTATTATTATTATAATTATTATGATTATGATTATCAATAATCATGGTATATTGATTTGCATTAGAGTAAATAGATTTATGACTAGAATTTAGAAAAAAAGGAAATTGAATGAATTAGACAAGAGTAGCAGCATTAAAGTCAAGTATACCACCTATTTAGGCTGAGTAGTGAAAAAACATACCCACATCCACACACATGCTTTTAAGTATATCAATCAATACAGAATCCATTAAATATGCATTAGGTTATTTCAAGTTAAAGTGTGTAGATAAGTTAGGAAATCATGGATGATTATATGTGAGTAGGTGATTGAGTTAGTTTATAGAATAAATGAAATGACATAAACTATAAGGACTCAGGAAGTGAATGAAGTTTTTTTTCTTCTCATAAAAATATTCTTTTATTAAAAACTCATTTCCTGTCAACAAGTCTATACTCAAGTCAATAATTTTAAACAGAAAATATTATGAACACGAAGTGAAACATAGTGAAGTATAGGTTTTTTATTTTACAAAAACTCTTTGAAAGATTGCAATAATTTCCGGCATTGATAGATATACACAACAAAGTTCACACAACATTATATCAAATAATGAGTTTTAACGAGATAATACAATGCTGCTTAAAAAGAATTCAGTTTTCATTTAGAATCAATATACATTGATCTTTGAATTGTACTTATTCGACGAATCCAATAACAAACAGCCTTTTAAACTTTTGAATACACAATCAAAAATTTACATTTGATATATTCTATGCTTAGTTGTTAAGTCCTATGGAAAAACGTACTACCTACTGAATGGCCAATCTAATTTAATAAGTGACGTGATAAAGTCATGAGTTCTCATGCCTCTGAGTAGGATTTGCGTAGGTCATAAATATCAGCTAAACTATTATTGTCAACGACTGATTAATTGAAATAGATTTACTGTATATTATTCTGATTTTGTTTAACAATAAATATTCGCGTATATTATCTTTTGTTATTCAAGATTACTTATTCTATTATTCTTGTTCAACTTTTTACTTAAGATTAAAGCTATTTAAAGCAGCCAAAACAAATAGACAAAACATCTAATAATTCCTGTTAAGGTAATTTATGAGAACAATGTGTAACTCTCTTCTGTGTTTCCCTAATTGCATAATGCTACATTAAACCACAAAATGGAATTCTCAATTCTATCGATAAGATAACGATTATTCTAGCTAATATTTAAGTGTTACTCATACTATGAATTAGTTTATTAGTTTATGAAACATTATGAAATGAAAAAATGACGATGTCTAGTTGTAAATTATAATGCACTATAATAACTAATTTTGATGCTCTATAGAATTATTTTATCAGGACGATAGTTCTTCATAGTTCTCCTTCTTCATATGACATGATGTAGATCATTTGTGTGTTGAGTTCTGTGACCTGGATGATTTTAGTCGTGAAGTTTTTACTGTTCTTCGGAACAACATCGTCAGTACAAAACAAAAAAAGGTGGACAGGAATTTCAAGTCCACATAACAAACTGACAATCAGGTGTGGAGAAGTTCTTATAGCTCATTCCTTTTTAAAATATTTGCCGATGGTATTATTTTGAAAAGCAATGAGCCTTCCAGTTCAGGAAATAAAATGCCTCCAGAATCTTGAAACACTTCATATGTACGTTAATGAATCACTCGGTTGGCATTGAAAACAAAATTTAAACCATCTACCATTTTGCATCTTTAGCTAATTATTTCAATAAAACAAGACAAAATTTATATCAACACTCTCAAAACAAAGCTAATTAAAGTAGACGTTTTGCATTGTTCAAAAATTTTAAATCAGATGTTTAGCTCTGTTTTCGCTGAAATAGTGGAAAAAAACAAGGCAAACAAAGATTAGAAAGTTGGTTTACTTATCATAGTTTTCTACTATTCAGTGTATATCTTACGAAAGTATTCAACATTGACTCTTGTTGGTACTATATGATGTAAATCTTTTTCGAAAGCAATATAGTCAGGCTGGATCAATATGAGGTGCTGTTAAAAGATCTACTTCTTCGCAGAGCTCCATAATAGAAAACGAGAACAATATTCTAGAAAACATCGCTTTTCAGATACTTCAACTTCCCACAAACGCAACTCGATGAGCTAATATATTTAGCTAATCGACCCGAAACTAAAGTATCTTGTCACACAATTTCAAACTGTATTTGCAGCTCATCGATTTTCCAGCCTAAACGTTTACCAAATTATTCTTTCACTTCAGTCACCTCTGAAAAGTACGAAATTTAAACAGCAGATAGTCTACGTCCCTAACAATTAAATTAACCAAATTTTTTATGCATTTACGTCTTAAACTTCTGATCATCTGACTTATAATTATTTTAATAACTAATCTGTGACAATAAAATTGTATCGACCACTGTTCCTATAAATTTAATAATTTCAGTGGAATAGTTTCAAATAATGAGTTTGAAATGGATAATCTATTCACGAATTATATGAAGAAAAATTGAAAAATAACATTTTTTACTATATTCTATTTCAGTTTCTTAACTAATAAAGGTGTTGTCAAGTCTGAAGTTAGCGCAGGTTATGGACAAATGAATACTGATGGATCAAATAGTGCAGCGTACACTGACAACACATGTCAAGGCAAATGCATGTATTATTTATGCTGTAACTGTTCTAAGCGTTATTATACAGCATGGTTGTCAAGTTTAGGCTTTATGATTACATTTGGCATTCGATGTAATATGAGTTGGGCTATGTTGACTATGCAAGCAAGATATATGGCAGCGAATTTGTCTCATTTACCACCTCATAAACATTATGAGCATACACATCATGAATCTGGTGATCATGTGGTTGGATTTGGTGGACTAATGAATGTGACAGTGGTAAGTTCTAAACATCCATGTTAATTTAAACTGATTACTTAAACAATCAATTTTAATAAGCACCTAGTTACTAAGTGATATACGTTTAACTGGTTTATGTTAGCGTGTTATTCGACTTTAGTCTAGAAATGTTGATAAAAGCCGTGTTAAGCAGCCTCTGTTAACACAGTCAATAATTTATCCTTTATTGATATCAACAGCTCATTAACTGTTGCCCTACACAGAGGAATTCTGTCAACAACTTTAATAATTTTGAGCTTGAGGTTAATGGCAAAAGCCTTACAACCAGTTGAATGAAGAGAATTAAATTAAAAAAGTAACGTTTTTTCATAGAAAAACATTACTGATATCTATATAATTTAACATCCAATCAAAATATTCTCCACAATGCTTCTGAAGCATTTCACTTACTTCTATTTGACAAGACTAATCATTATTATCTGGGTAGGTAATAAAAAAGTTTCCATTACATCTTAAACCTCCCAAAATCTACCTACGATCCTCTCGGCTTCGCAGACTTCAGAGCTGTAGAGTTTCAAACATGGTAATGACCAATTTACCTTTCTAATTGATAGTTATAACAGAATTCACTATTGAACTGACCTTTCAAATAATTAGCTTTAACTTTTGATGTGAAAGTTACCAACAACAGTTTGCCGTCAGAGGAATCAAGCTAATTAGCTCAACGTTTATATACCAGATATAATATAATGAAATTTATAGTGTACTACCATCTCGATTCATTCATCAAGGCATAGTATCCTTAATATTAAATACCTGAAAAAATGTCAGTTTTATCCAAAATTATATACCTGATTTTTTCATTAAAAAGAGGTAATCGACCGATATTCGCAATAAATAGCTAAGTATTTGACAATGAGTATCGGGAGTTTAACTAAAGGTTAAAATATACAAGATGCCGATATAAATCACCACGAACTAACAATTTTAACAGAGTAACCTAGATGAGATTATCTTATTATAGTTATGAAGTCAATGATTTCATTACAGCGTACGGTGAAATAGTATACATTAGGGAAGATTCATTTTTATTCATAGAAATGTTCAAGCAAACAGTATATTGCATAACTGTCAAGAAAACACTAATATATATGTATATCAATCTCATTCAAAGTACTTTGTTATTCATTTTAGAAACCAGATTTCTATTGGACAGCAGGTCAAAGAGGATTTGTTGACAGTTCATTCTTTTATGGCTATTTAATAACTCAAATACCTGGTGGTGTTATAGCAGCTAAATTTCCAGCCAATCGATTATTTGGCATCGCTGTTGGTGGAAGTGCTTTTCTAAACTTATTATTACCAGCTGCTTGTAAAATTCACTTTGGTTTAGTGATGACAATTAGAATGTTACAAGGTTTAGTTGAGGTAATAAAAATGTATAATGTCACACTAATTAAGTAACTTATTTCTATTCCCTAAATTATTGTATTCTTGAAAACATTTTTGTTTGTTACTGACACATACCGACTATCTAACATAGTTGTATATTTTAAATGCAGTGTAAAAATCTTTTCGACTAGAATAATCATTATATGTCGAAAGTAAGTTTAGAAACTGTTAAACTTTTTATAGGGACCATTATCACCTCTAGAGGAATATTTCATTAAAATCATTTTAACATAACATAATCTTACCAGATTTGCACAAAATTATCACACATTTCTGAGCAAAACTATCCAACCGATCATTAAACAACTGACAGTATTTGAATGATAAATAAATTTATTGCATTCGAAAATACAGTTAAAATTTCATCTAGTCAGCATGAAATATTCTGATTAAAGCACAAAGATATAAAATGCTTTCATCTTACGAAATAAATTAAAGTACAACTTTCCAAAAATTTAGCAAGAACTACTTTGTTTTGATTTAAATTGTATGAAATCTTTTTTAAAATAAGCTGTGATCAAACAACATACTCAAATAACCATTCATGCAAAATATTATGGAACTGTAATAAGTATTTCAATGTTGACTAACCTAATTCAAGCTTCAGTAGAGTTTTACAACAGTAAAAGAATGGTACTGAGAAATTATTTTTCTTACAGTAAATAGGCTTTTATTAGTTCCTACATACTTCATTCTGAGCATTTTATGTGCTACTTTAAATCTTAAGAAATTCTTTAATTTTTAGCACCCTCTAAGTGAAAATGATTGAGACATTTGTAAGAATAATCTTGATCTCTGCTTAGAGTAAGATTCTTTTTTTTATAATAATCTTGATAAGATTGTGAGTTATCTCTGGTATACCTCTAATTAATCCCTCATATATACCTACTTCCTGAAGATGAGATGCAAGATGTTTTTCATGATTACTAGAATCACGAACTGATATCTACAAAAATAATCGTCCAGAAATAAAGGGTACTCACTACCCTCATTGTTCTAATTCAGAATTTATCAATAATGGTAACTAGTGATTTGACACAAGTCCAAAGCAAAGATTTCATGTGCAACAACCTTTTTTCAGAACATACCTGTAATTTCTGGATATTTGAGAATTTGAAGTACAAATTAAAAACACCGGAAATCATATCTCTTAAGCGGCCAAGACCGAATAAGGAAGGGTAGATATAGACGGGATTCTATTTTTACAATAAGATATTATTTTTAAGTATCTCGTACACATAAATGCTATCTAGGCGGGAACTTACGGGAAGTCAATAACCCAGTGAACAACAGTTAGGAAACGCAGGACAAAAACACGAACAGTCTTAGAGATTATTTTACATTGAATCTGATCCAAGTGAATTTCTCGCTAAGAATTTCAAAGTAAAGCGTAAACCTTGGTGAATGTTCCTTTATTTCATATTATTTTTTGGTTATTATACTTATCTAATCTCTGCAAATCATACATTCAAAAGGTGCAGTTACACTGTTATGATCAGTTGGCTCAAACTTCTTAGATTTTCAAAATCAAATTAGTTAAACTACAGAGTAATTACCTGCTTAAAGAGTAATGATGTTCTAAAATAAAATCATTGAAATATTTTACATTTTTCGTAGTTATGTATCTACATATACGGCATATCTTTTTTTCAAAGGGTACATCTTATCCAGCATGTCATGGAATATGGAGATATTGGGCGCCACCACTTGAACGTTCTCGACTAGCAACAATTGCATTTTGTGGTAAGTTTCTTTTCGGAATTAAATCGTAACAACCTAAAGTATTTGAGCGGTTTACTTAATCACCATGAATAAGTTGTCACATTAATAAATTTCATCACTAGGTACGCTTGAAGCTGTTACGGGTTCAGCTTAGTCGATAAACGCGAACGAGATAATGAACCAGCGTCCAGGTAGGCTACCTTAATCCGAAAACGGCAAAAGATAAGTCTTGATAAGCGTATATTCTACGAACACTCAGCAAGCACAAATCTCGTTTATTTGTACATCATAGAAACGTCCTTGCGATAGTCACAAAAATAGCACACTAAAATACACAGCAGCCAATCACAGCCATTGATTTTCCTGGTGGGAAATGAAGCCTCAATTTCAACTGATCAGCTCACGCTCCCTAACGTGAAATCCAAAATAAGTTCTGGGGACCTAACGTCCCCAACAATTATATAAAATATTGAGTGCATTTAACTTGTTCCTTTTTTTAATTTTGTTTCATCCAAATAGGTTCATATGCTGGTGCAGTACTTGGATTATCACTTTCTGGTCTACTAGCTCAACAAATGGGATGGCAGTCACCATTTTACTTTTATGGTAAAAATATACTTTTTTTTCCTGAGAAAATAAAGTATTGAATATTTGTAATTAAATATTAAAATTTCTGTTACAGGCTGGTGATTTTGGAAAAAAACATAATCAAGGTTTAACTTATATTGTTTTAAATGGCATTTAACCATAAGCTATCAAAAACGCTTCTTTTATTATAGTTTAGGCCAAATGACTAAATTCACTGGTCACAGCTTTTCACTAAAATCTCTATAACTCAGCTCAAAATCAGTCACTGGCTAGCACACCTCTATATTCAGAGTTGAGACTACCCTGATTTCTATGTATTTTAGTCTCAAAATGATATCACTGGGAACGTTTATTATATTGATTACTAATTCTAAGGATTGGAAAACAAATATATCAGGAGAATAAATAGTCACTTCAATAAAGGCTGTTTTCTAATTCAAGTATTTGCATGTGATTATTTTAAAATTGATGTGGGGCTATTTTCAGATAAACAACTTTTCGATACTCTCATACACAAATACGAAGACAGACTTTTTCAAATCGATATTCATCTGAATGTATTATCATCCAAAGTACAAAAAACCATAATCCCCTCAAGCACTTATTTTTCAAGTGTTTTGTCTTTAGATTATAACTAAACTTATCTATACACAATTTGATTTTAATTGTTTCAATCAGGTATTGTCGGTATAATGTGGTTCTTTTGGTGGTGGAATGTTACACACGAACGCCCCTCTTTACATCCAACTATATCAGAAGCTGAACGAAAGTACATTGAAACTTCAATTGGAGAATCACCCACGATTAACGAAAGTGTAAGTTCTCACCCAATTCACTAATATTATGATTTCTTAGGGAAAAATGTCTACAAAACATTTCTTGTACATCCTACTCCACAGTGAAATCTGCCTAAGATCATTATGATTTCAGTTTGATTAAACGTATGAAGAGAGAGAGTCCTATAAGCAAACAATTGGTGCTTGGCATCTACATTCACACTATAGAACTATATATCTGAATTAACACTCATTGTGGAGTTCTATAAGCCGTTAACTAAACACAATAAAATACTTATGCTGTTTTTTAAATTTAAGATTGAAAGATGAAATTTTTCTAAAATAAAATAGTCTACATATATTGAACAAGTCCTTAGTTTTACTTTATGTAAAACTGAAATCCACTGGAAAATGTATATCATAAATATTGTAATCTATTTCATTATCGTGTGACAACTTCAGAAATGATTAACTTCATGACATTTATCTACTAAAATTTGTTTTATCAACAAAAAGTCACGTTAAAAAATAACTTGTTGACTACAAAAAATCCATGTCATATCACTTGTACGAAGTCAAACACAATTTATTCATTTTTATTTCTTTCATGATAGGTATGAAAAAAGTTTCTTAAGTTTTAACTTCACGACTGCTAACATGAAAACTGTCTTTGCACTACAAAGTTTGCGAAAATAAGATAATCTATTTAACCCCGTAAAATGGTCAAATAAGTTAGAATGTGATCAGGATCACATAAAATACCATTTTTTCTGATACCAGAAAAAACCACAAACCCTTTACTTCATTATCAGGCACGTTAGTGAGAAGAAATCAAATTAACAGTAATGCAAAGTTTAGATAATTTGTTCTATCTGTTATCGGAAATATTATTTCTAATCTCTGTCTCACTTCAAATTAGTGATGATGTAATAAGTTTTGTCAATGAAAGAAAATCTACTTCAACCACACAGTAGTTTGTGTAAGGATTTAACTTTTACTTTTGTCCTTGTTACAGATTGTAGTTATCACAATGGGTATACGATGTTATTTAGTCACACGTTTTGGTAAAGTTAAATAGTGATCATAGGTGGAATACAAGCCGCGCGCTTGATGTCATCCAGAACAAATTTACTTGTATCCATAAAGATGTATAAGTATAGTCTTTTACAGTAATTTTAAGCCTTTTTATTATATTGTTATCAACGAAACTTTTATCTACATTTAATTTAGTTTTTCCGCCAATTTGAAAACACATGCTGTCTTTCATATCCATGAATGTAAGCTTACTGACATGCCAATGTGAACCTATACAATTTATAATCATGAAACACTACTGCATATGTGCAGGATTAATTGTAGTTAATTAACCCATATGTGATCCACACTTTATTTTGCGCCCAATCAAAGTCTGGATTATATCTTTACTTTGACTGCGGCCAAACTAAAAATTAATTTTTCAGTATCTCTGTCTATCTAATTAAACAAGTAGAATTCATGATTTTCCAGTATAAATGTTTGAGATAATGGCAAATTTGGCATAATATTAATCAGTTACTGATGAATAATTTACATAATTTCGTTTTTAGAAATTTTATGACAATATATCACTATTTCAATGAATAAATTTTACTACTTTCCGTTAAAATCATAGAGTTGTGTTTAAAATCTTTCTTTTTCTTCTGTTAAAGTTAAATTTATTCATACGAAACAGAACGAAAAAAATAAATCGACTACTTATTTCAATTAAACCATTATGCTTTTATCACATTTTTTATAGAAAATACCGATTCCTTGGGGAAAATTCTTTACATCGCTTCCTGTCTATGCGATAATTGTTGCGAATTTCGCAAGAAGTTGGTCATTCTATTTATTAATTACAAAATCACCAAAATATTTTCGTGAAGTATTTGGTTATAATTTAGCTGAGGTAAGAGCATTGTACTTATTTTAGAAATGATCGTTATTTAGAATGAATTTCGAAACATTTCAAACATTATCGAATTATACGTAAACATTGGGCCTTAGACCTTGAACATAAGTTAAGTACTTTGATTAATGATGAGCATGGCCATACTGATTAAAGATTGGCTTCTTTTTATATGTCTGAATGTTGAACAGCAAATCGCAATTTGAAAATACATACTACAGCTGTGAAACATAAAAGAAAACCATTTTTTAAGTTGATATTTACCCGACCGTTTAGGATCTGTCAGTTAAACTCTACAACCAATAAGCGAATAATTAAACAGAAGCGCTAAACTTCCACGATATGTTTCAATGTGTTCAATCTCAATAAAGCAAGAAAGAAAAATTCAAGCACTTCAGTAGAAAGGTCACTGATAATATCTATCTCCTACATTTTAAAATGTAAATTACACAGGACAAAGGTGAACATTTTGTCAAACAGCTTTCTGTTTTTCATTTCAGACTGGATTTTTGTCGGCATTACCACATTTAGTAATGGCTGTGATTGTTCCAATCGGTGGACAGTTGGCTGATAAATTACGAAAAAATACATTATCAACAACAGCTGTAAGAAAAATCTTCAACTGTGGAGGTAAATATCATAAAATCACACTACATTTTCTTAATGAATTGAACTAATTCTGTAAAATTTAATATGGTTTACTGCATTGACCAAAATCTCTATTTATATGCAAAAATTCAGTGTCCTAACGACATTAAAGAGATCGTATATTGATATTATGATAATTATATTGTAATTGAAACAAATATTTAGGGACCACTTGGGTGAATGATGTGACTGATTTCATTATCTTTGTATATCATGGTTACATAGGCTTTAAAATCAATGTAACTGATTTTAAATCCATTCTAATTCTTTACTTCAAAATACAACCACCTGTCTCGGATTATAGGTTACTTTAGACATTTTTCTCTAGGCACTTCAGACTATAATCATCACAGTGATGATATAAACAATGAATGTGCTATAAGTTTGGCTAATAATATAACGTATATAATGAAAAATCTCAGACAGACAGGTACATTATAATACTGACTTTTTAAATTTTAATTCAGCTTGAAGCTTAATTTGGTGTGGTGTATTAAAAACATTCTTTTCCAGCAGAAGTCAAGATTAAGGGAAGAACAAAAAAAGATTAATTGCGCATAATTGCTACCGTGAGGACAGCTGGTGGTTAGCTACTGATCCATTCATGAAAACAAAGGTCTAGTCTTAGCCTTCTGATTTCTATAAATCCTCAAATCTCGATAACACGTCAAATTTTGTCCATATCAACTTTGTATTTTCATAGTTCATCCAGTTATGTACAGCAAGTCAATTCTGATCGAGCTAGATAGACATTTTTCTTTCTGAGAAATGGATTCTCGGGTATTTATTTCACAAGCCCAACTAGAAAGGTTAAGTAAATGTTCGGAGAAAACATAAAACTTTAACAAAAACTTTTTTAATACAGAAACTGAGGCATCTTAATTCTGTGTAAATATATGTACATCTACATTCACGTGAATTCTTTTGTCATCCTGTTGTACGGACATTTCGCCCATATATATAAAGCATGAAAAATCAATTAATTTATATTTTTATTGAATGTTCCAGGTGCATTTTATTTGAAGACAGATTATAGACATAAATACAAATGAGCTGTTCAACGATAAACTCATTTTTTTTCTTACAAAATGAATTTCTTATTCTTCCGGCACAATTGTTCAAGTAACAATTTCGATGAAAGACTCTAAAATATAAACGATCTTAAGAATTAAAAATAGATGGATTTCTGTTAATGACAGATGCGCTTTGTGACTCATCAACTGAATGGAAATGCATTTGGTTTCAAAAATTAGTTTAGAAAATGGTGACCAAATTGCTATTGGTCAGTGAGTTGTATATGTCACAACCGATCATGCTCATTGTGAAAATAAAGATAATCATTTGTCTGGAAAAATAGAAAACATTTCTTTGATAAACATCAACATAGTTGTTTATGAAAATAAAAACGCATTTTAATTACTGAAGAAAACTCATCAAAATACCTCTCATGGAAATGAAATCTTACAAAGGAATAAGATGAAAAGTCAATTAAATACTTATATCTGTAACGCAGACAAGCGTTACAGAACATGTACCTATGTTGGGGATGTTAGATCCGCAGAACTTACTTGGAAAGGCCTTAATTTTGGATCTTATTTATGGGCTGATCAGTTGACCTTGAGATTACATTTCCCACCAGGAAAATCCTTGGCTGAGATTGATGGACGTGTTATTTTAATATGCTATATTTGTGACTCTCCCAAGGACGTTTCTATGAAGTAAAAATAAACGCGATTTGTGTGCTTGAGTTCATTATACTTGCTGGGTGTTCGTAGAATACACTTTCTACGCCACATCAAAACTTTTTATTCAGATTAGCCTACCGTGTCACTGGTTCATTGTCTCGTTCTCGTTTATCGACTAATGTGAACTCGTAATAGTTTCAAGCATATCAAGTGATGAGCATAAGAACCTAGATGACTTTAAGACTATTTAATGTCAAATGATCTTATAGCTTTGGAAAGTAAAAAACTATGTTCGTCGACACCCCAATACTTAATTAGAACAAGGTGTAAAATTGACATCAAAACAGCTTTTAAAACATTGTATAGGAATAGTCAAGGACGAATTCTCGGGTTTATAGAAATCTTGGCTATTCGTAAATTTAAACCTCTCCTACGTGTGTCTTAACCTCAAATTTGTTCTAATGATCTTGAAACCATGTTATGTCTTTCTATACCATTTTAATTCTCTCTTATTTATTTACAATTAACACTATGTTTATTACAACTTTCATTTAACAGACCTTTATTAATTTTCGTATAGAATACTCTGACAAGTATATATGTGACTAAATTGTTTGCAATCTATAGAGCAAATACATCACATTTTTCAGATCAACTTCGTCTTCTCAGTGTTCTATCATAATTATAGGCAATTCAACATAAATATTTTGACTTTGTTGACTAACTGAATAAAATGATGTTGTCCTACATTTTCATTAAAGGTTTTGGAATAGAAGCAATCTTTCTAATTGGTGTTGGTTATTCAAAAACCATTACATCAGCACTGGTATGTCTTGTTCTAGCAGTCGGTTTTAGTGGATTTGCAATATCAGGTAAGTGTATTCTTTTCTACAGCATGATATTAAATTTATCAAACATTAATTAGTATATTAAACCTAAATTTACTTTCTTCCTGCTTATCATGACTAGGATGTTATTTCATTATCCCATCCTTTTTAAATAAATCCTTACTTTGATTGCATGCATTCTTAACGTTAACATAGTTTCGATCTTTATTGTGAGCATCATTTGCCTATACAGCTGTATGGTAGTTAATAAAGCTACTATGATTGTTTGTGTACAATTGTGAGTGTGTCACATTGTAAACATCAAAAATACTCATAAAATACCTAATATATTCAATTGATGATCAGTAAGGCTGAATTAGAATCACTTGTAGTATTAGATCAATAAGTTTCAGCTTTTTAAAAACCAAACAGCTGGTAAAATACAGTTGAAACTTTAAGTAACGCCAACGTTTCGTCCAGCTATCGTGTCTGAACTTCTTCAGGGTAACAATGATCAAAATCATTTCATAAATAATGTAAAAAATATTGTGAACATTATTGTAGGTCCCTTAGACTACTGGCTTCATAGAACGTTGATCAACAGAATCTGTCTAGCATTAATGAATAGACAAGCATGATATTGAACTAAATGATCAGTCAACTTACGTATACTCATTCTTTTTATTGTTGTTGTGGACTGAAAGCCACAAATCTATAATGCTAAACAATTTCTATATTCTATTTTTCAAAAGTAATTTTCACATATAATGCATTCTGTATACTCGTCCCTTAATTTTCGTCATATGTTTTGTTCAAATATTGATGAATATTTCTATAAACTATGTTTCATTGTTTGGTAATTTCTATCGACTAAATATTATCGCCTAAATGCATGTACATTTGACATAAAATGAATACGAAGCATCAAACTTAAGGTACAAGCTGTTTTAATTATACTAATGGCAACTGCAATTACAGTAATCTATTGGCAACTTCTACTTACTTGTATATTAGATAACGCAGGCGCAAAACTGGTCAGTTTTGTTAATACATTCCATACCTTATTGTTTTGAAAATTACCAACTCATTTATTATCGAGTGATGTTTTATTCAGCATCAACATCAACTATTCAACTCAATACTCGAATTATTATTTATGAATTAATTTTACCATGAAAAAAATATTAAACAATCTTAAATTAATTTTTAAAAAGAAAATAAACAAAAAAAATAGGTTTTTTATAAGCATAAAATTAAACAGGAAACTACTGAATTTGTCATTTCGAAATGGAAATTATTGACAAATTCTTTCCCAAGAAATTGTTAATTTATTAAAAATATAAACATACAGACATTGATTGAATTATCACGTAAATAATAATAATAATAACAATAATACTAAGAAAACTTATTAGAAAATTATGTCAATTACTAAATTAAATTAGAAAAGCGTTTTTCCAGTTTTCTTATCACGAATGATGATGATTGATTTAGTTGGATTTCTTTTTGTTTCTTTGTCACAAAACATTTCACTTTAATTGATTATTAAACACGATTATTTAAAACAGTGAGCTGATAATCCTACTAACAAGAATTCTGAATATAAGGAAAATACATTAAAAAGCACATTTTTTGTGTGTTATGGGACCATGATATGAAGTTTTGTAGAACCAATGAGAAGAATCGACCACTCATACCAGACCAAACAGTGATGTAGAAATAGAAATTCCCGAAAAAACTGCCCAAATTACCAATCGATATTAATCACTTGCTTTCAGTTACATTTACTTATAATGTACATCTTCAGTTGACAGTTATTAAATCAGTGGTCATTGATGTTAATAAAATGTAACTGTCTAAGATAATGGAACACTGAAAGACTATGCTACTTCGTGATTAGATATCTAATGGATGTTGGGAAACAAGATAAATCGAACTCGATAGTTAAAAATATAACTTGACCCAATTTAGTGCATAATTTTAGAGAAGTAATGAACGCAGATATTATATTATTGATTTAGATTATGTTTATTCCGTCAGAAAAGCTTGCTTTTTGTTTAAATCTACTCAGTAATAGTTATATAATCATTCAATCAACAAAATATATATTAAAATTATTATGAGAAATCATAATATTAATGAGGTTATATATCTAGTGATGACTATCATAAGCATTTATGCTAATGAATGGAACATGAGTAAGACGAATAATAAGACTTTGACAGAACGGTCCTACACAAATCGATCCCGCCAAATGAAGACGCAATTTAGTAACCAAAATATGTACACATTATCTTCGAACATCTATTTGTAAAACAAGCATATTCTTGGCTATCTTCCTCCACATGACTTCTAGTCTTCAGAACACTAGTCAAGCCGTTCATCTGGACCCCACACCCTTCGATTGGCAGTAAGTTCAGAGTGACACTCCACTGCACATCCACTGCTTCGTTGTGAGTAGTATACACCACAGTAGTAGTAGTAGTGGTCATGTTCATTTAAAGATTCATAGTTAAGTCCACCATTTAATATTTTTGAGGTAAATCTATATTTTTATTCTGAATACGTTTAATCTTTTCCCACTATTTTAAAATTGACCGCTTTATACAAAATTCATAATAGGGATGGTTAAATTACCACCAAACACATGCTGAGTTTCAAAACCATATTCATTTCAGAATAAAATAACAAACTCTAAAATTAAACTTTTCATATGACTTTCACAAATGTAAACAAAATTAGTGTTGAATAATTTATTTAGCTAGTTTGAATGACTCATTTTATAAGTTATATTCATCCTAATAACTTCATATATGAAAACATGCATTCAAAACAGATTTACATAATCATAATAATTTATACTAGATTAGGGTAGCAATGACCATTGTTTCATATATGAAAATAATAATATGACACTCATGCTATTCCATACTAGTAAACATATGTACATGTAAACTTCAATTTTACGAGTGCGCATACAGAAAAGTTGTGATTGTCAACAAGAGAAAAATAGTACCTCACTTTTGATTTCACTTATGGCGACAACTTCATACTGTTTTAAAGAATACATAAAATGCCGCATTTCGAAATATTGAACATATTATTATTTATTATTCACAGCAAAGAAAATCTTCATGAGATTTAATAACTTTGCTATTACTTATCCAAAAATTCAATAAACTAACTCCATAATTTTCAGATAACAATTAATTACATCCCAAAACACTGAATATAAATAGCAGATTACATGTACCAACATTGCGTTGCACATACTTTCATATGGCTTAATTTATCCTTTCTATTGAACATTGAATCCAATTTCACAACACTTTTGTGATTGGCATTTATCCTGCTTTCATATATTATAGGAAAGTAATTGTTTTTTGCAAGCAACAGTCGCAATGTATTTTAGAAGCAAGTAAATAGGCTTTTTGGTTTGGTTTATATAGTGATGGAAACTCAGATAAATTCATGGTGCCTAAGATAAATTTCTGGACATTTGTTTCTCCGTTTGTTCGTTGTATCTATTGATTCTTCTCATTTTCTATTTCTTCTAACTAAATAAAAATATTCGTTAACCCAATAACTTGCTTCTCATACTTTATAAAATCCCCATACTTTATAACAAAACTGGTTACTTCAAAACTTAACTCGAGAGACTACTGCAGCTTGCACTATGGTATAACAAAAGGCAAGTGCAACTAGATTTATGTAAGTATTTCGTTTCAAAAATTTACGTCGGTAACAAGACGTATACTATTTAATAAAACGATAATTAAAACAAAATAAAAATTCATTATAATCAGGTGTACAACCGAAGAAATAATAATTACAGAAGTAATGCATTACACATTAGATTGTTCATATAGACACCAGCTTTTCGGTGTACCTGAACAAACGATTAATCATCAGCTGAAATGGATAATTCTACTCATGAAAATCGATGTCCAGAGACTGATCAACTGTCTCAGCACACATTAACTCATTTTCAACAAATATATAAGTCGTTATATCTATTTAACAACCTAAAATGAACAGCCTTGTTCTGATGATATATAATTATGACTATTTCAAACAAGCAAAATTATCCTCAGTTTGTAGTCACTTCGTGTTCACAAAAAATAATCATAAATCCGATTCTGTCACATACTTAATTTCTTTTATTCATATATAGTTCTACCAAGTGAACCTACAAACTTGCTTCCTATGTAATTCGTAACTAGTGAACTTGGTATGTAATATAAGTCTACATTTCAACATCATTTCCAGATATACAATTTCATATCTCAACAATAAGTCATTTAATTTTTGTTGTCTATACTTTTGTTACTAGTAAGTAGTCAATTTTGTTTACTAAAAAACATTTTTTGCCTTGAACAAGTAAATTGGTGAAATTATGGTAATGAAATTCTGTAATAACAAATCCATTGTCTGTATGTTTGGTTTAATTCATTTGTTATTTTTACAGATACAAATGCTGCGGAAAACTGAGACCACTTCACATGAAAATATAGAATCAGTATTTACATCATAATTATTGACCAACCGATAGATAGCTAATATTATCTCTTATCTGAAAAAGAGTTGTATATTTGTGATATGACCATAACAAACTCTCCTTACTTAAATGGTGTAACTTTCCCAGTTTTCACGTCTACTATCAATCTCTGTGTTGTAAATTCAATCAGTTTAACCAAGTATATAATATAAAAGGTAAATCAATGACTTCTGGCATATAAGTCAACTCACTGGCCCGAGTAATTTGACTCCCTTAAATTAATACTACATTATTACCAATGCATCTCCACAACTAAACTTCTTTTCTATTATCTTCTACATATATGTGACATATTTTTGTATTTATAGGTTATAATGTTAACCATTTGGATATTGCACCTCGTTATGCTAGTATATTAATGGGTTTGTCCAATGGTGTTGGAACAATCTCTGGTATGATTTGTCCAATTACAACGGAATTACTTACTAAAAATCAAGTATGTACTTCACTAATGAGTAACTGTTGGATTTTTTTTACAGTTGCTCCATGATACTGAATCAATTCAGATTATCCTCAAAAGACTTCATTAGTTTAGAACGTGGGATTTTGTTTAGAAATTGACATAGTTATTTGAATTGAACATACTGATTATGTTGAACAAATTATTGAATATGAAATTTTTGAATTATAATTGTTGAATGGAAATAAATTTCTCGCTAGTCACAAACAGTCCACTATCATTCACTTGAAAATCATATGAATAAACATTTGAGCATATACTAAGATGAAGTTAATACGTTTTGGTATATTCTTGTATTGAGTTTAGTAGTGATAACGAAGAAGCGACTTTTGTTCTATTTGGAACATTTTTAAGAAAGCGTTCCGACTGAAATTCAAACCTAGTACTAAGCACATCAAACACCAACATCTTATGCACCGAACTATTAATTCTGAATAGACACTAATTGAAGCCAATAAAGTTGTTTTTAGAGGTTTAAGCTTTAATGCTGTCGATATTCATAACTGAACTTGGTAATTTATTCTTTGAATAGACACTTCTATACCATTTATGTTTACCAGTGTGTAATATCTTCTTGAAGAATGATAGGATGAAGTCCTGAGTATTAGCATAGTGAAAACTCAAGTCATTAAAAAAAATTTCATGTTTCTTGTTGTTAACAAGTCTAAGTACATGTAGAGTGCTTATCGTATTGTAACAATTGTGTGAATGATCAGGTAATATAGAAGATACTTCAGGTTAAATTCTCTAAAATGTAAAGCCGAAAAAATTCTGGGTAAATATCAAAATCATAGAGCTTTTCTTTCCTTACTTAACTAAATATCATCAAATTTATGTACTAAAGCATTTGTAGTTAGTACTTATTCAACAAAGTAGCTATCATATCGGAAGATTTATCAAAAACTAAAAATGAATTACTAAAAAGTTATTTACTAAAGTGCTTAAATATGTTCGATCAATAATTATCAAGTTGCTTTGCTAATATGTTAAAAGCCTATATCAATACAAACAGTATAATTGGTCTTCGACAATATTATTTTTTTATCAGAACAAGGAAGGATGGCCAATAGTGTTTTTGATAGCAAGTCTAGTTCACTTTACTGGTGTTACATTTTATGCTCTCTTTGCATCTGGAGAAAAACAAGCTTGGGCAGAAGCACCTGAAGAAGCTCAGTGTAATTGGCAACCACCAACCGACTTACCAGCAGAGATGCATGGAGAATATGGCTATGGGGATCCATCTGAAAGAAAAGATAACAATACATCTTTTCGAAGAGTAAGTAATCAAAGGAATTCATTAACTGATAGTAACCAAATCTACACTTCGAATTCAAGATACACACCGGGTTATAATCAGTCCACTGTAAATGATCCACAGATAAATTTTCAAGAATATGGTTATGGTGAAACTTTGAGTGGAACAACAAACAGAAAAAGTGATAATCCCTATCATCAAGGTTATTAAAAGTAACCTGAAAATAGAAATTAATTTTTCACTAATCATAACAATATCAAGAGTTACTTATTTCAGCCAGTAAACAATTCACAAATAATCCATATGTACTCCTGAATCATCAAATATTATATCACACTTTGTACGGAATCGAAATTTCTATGAGAAAATATAACCACTATTATTAATACTATCAATGATTTAAAATAAAACATTGTTTCGTGACTAAGAACATAGAGACATGTTTAACTGTCCTATCGATCTGTTGTGACAGATTTAATTTATCCTGTCTTTGCAACACTTATTTATCAGTATATATATATACATATGTGTATTGTTTGGTTTTCTTATTCAGAATGAAACATGAATATTTATTTCCCTATTTATTTACTCCAAAACTTAACTGTTAATTTGTCTTAGAAATCATTTTCTCCAGCCATATTGGTTAGCACGACTGTGAAAAACAAACATTTTATTTATTTATTGAAATCCAAATGAATACAGCACTTATTGTCACTACCACTACTATTATTATTGTTATTATTATTATTCTAAAGGTTATGAAATTAATTTTCAACACATGAATTAGTTTTCTTGTCAAAGAATAGTCAAAATGAAGAGAAAAGCAATATTTTCGACAGTTTCTTTTACGCTTCTTATTTCGAGACCCCATATTGCTATCGTTTTCTGACTTTTTCTTTATACTCTCCAAAGATTTGGTAATTCTTTTTTTAATTTTTTTCAAACACACACCCAGTTTCAAAGAAATTGGTCTTAATCAAATGAACCGTTTCACATTTTACTTCTCTTTAATAGACTCCACTCGAAATATTCGTTTTACTTAATGCATGGTGTGACCTGCGCAGATGCACATTTATGGTGAGATATATCATACCAGTTTTCAAAACGGAAACATCTAGTAAAGGATTTCCGAAATCAATTGTAACTTTTTGCTTTCTTTTGAAATAACCCATTAAAAATAGGTAATTTCAGTAGCCCAAAGATTCTCATAGAATGTCCAAAAACAAAAAAATATCTTAGAGTAAACATTTGTTTTTAATAAATTCATCATTAGACTTGACAGTCATGTGTCCGTAACTATTGCATTACATTGAACAAGTAATAAAACAATGGGATTTGTTAAAATAATGAACTTGTGCATCTGTTCTTGCGTGAATACGTCAGAATTGTCTATTTAACTTATGAATAAGTTAATTTTGTCGTTGTAATTCAACAATTATAGGCTTATGATTGTAAAGCCTTATAACGAAGGTCTTCATAACGACTGTTCGCTTGGAAGTCCTTGTTTTGAATAGTTTATATATTTAAACAAAACCTATCACACTAGTTGTTGACTGTCGTTAATTACTTTAGAGAAATTATAAATTTACCTAAATTTAGCAAATAACTTGTTCTGAGCTCATCATTAACTATAGTAACCAGTAAATCGTGTTTATTACCTCAAAACCATTGGCAGCATCACGACAGACATATCCAACCGAATAGCTATTACAGCTATAGATACTCACAGTATACGCTGGACAGCTAGGGGAAACAAAGTAGAAATTGTGAATTTGATTCTGTGTACTCTGTCAAGAGATTTTAGTGCTGACAGAGTCGAGGTTGACTATGATCTACAGTAAATACTAATTACTATCCCGTCATCGATTTTAAAAATAAATCCAGGGTTGGGAATATATTTGAAGGAGAAAGTAGGCGCTGTATCGAGCAGCAATTTATGAAAGATGGTATCAACGCGAAAAAAGAACGTTACGCGTAAGTAGGTGTTTTTTAGTACAGTTGTACAAAACCAGTACAATAATATATGTTTATTTTTCACCAATCGTGTTTTCTTCGTAGAAGTGTTCCACCACAAGTTTAAGGTCAATATACTGGTATGAGTCTCTGGACTTTATTACCTGTTGTAGCATTTACTTTCTAAAATATTTATATCGTTTTATACAATGCCTTAATATGGTACTCATTTCAGGATACAACGGCTGGAGGCACAGTGTGATGCTGGTCTATAGGCAATTTGAAAAATCCACATTCTCGTATTGATGAGAGTTATGTGAATGGTTTTGTCTAAACCGTCAGGTGCAATTCGATTACGAACAAGTAACTAAAACTCATGTCTCAGTAGTATGGTTGAGTTTTGCAGGTGAGAGTCCACAGGTTGCTGCGAATATACGACAACAGAGAGGATAAATCCTACTCGCTTTTTTCTATATTCAGATAATGATAACGTGAGTGATAGGACATTACTTATACTGGATTTGAGCCTGTTTAAAAACGCTATGTATCTTCGATATCCTAACTGCCATTGTTTAACAGATTCGTTCAACCTGTCTTACATCATATTGCGCACGTCTATCCATTACGTGGTACTTCAGCTCAGACATTTGACATGCCCTGCAAGAAGAGCGAAAAGGAACGTCCATAATTTTGATCCCCAGACCTCACTTAAAAAGGTCCTAATTTGGTAATTTATTTCTGAAATTATGAAATTTTATGTTTTCGAACCAAAGACGCATAATTGACCATCAGCTTGCATTTGCAATTCGGAAAATCCTTGGCTGTCATTGGTTGATTGATTATGTTAGCATGCTGTTTTGTGGCTCCAGCGAAGGACGTTTCTACCATAGTACAAATAAGTTTTAGTTGTGTGTTTAGCAACATCTACCTTTCTGGGTGCCTGTAGAATACATTCTATACGCCTTATCACTAATTCTTGCTCTAGTTAGCGGGGCCAGGTACAATCGGATTAGAATAGCCTATCGTGTCACTACATCGTTGATTTTCGTTCCGTTCACCGAGTGGGCAAACTCGTAACTGTTTCAAGCATTTATTATTCTTCTAATAACTAAGATAACTAAAGAATGATGAAGATAATCATACGATGTACGATGAAAGTAAACAAACGAAAATAATGCTTCTTGGGAAAATTGTAAGGTTTCCACTAAATCTGTAAATTTATTGTGCACAAGAACGAGCTTTAGTTCTCTTTCATGTTTCTTGATCAAAAATGTTGTGATCACATTTATTATCAATGAACATTAAGGCAACAAGTGATATCACCAAAATACAACTCCTTGATTATACATATAACACTACAAGTATAGTTGTACTATGTCCCTTACGCTTCAGTACTTCCACCCATAAAGCTGTCACGGTTACCTGAAGAATGCTTGATTAATTTGTGTTTGGGAGTGAAACCATGAATTAGATGGCGCTTGGAGGCAACACAAAGATTGGAGATATGAACTCATTTGATCTCGAAAATAAATCGAAGTAATAAATGAATACTTCACTTTTTATGTGATATGTTTACAGATACATCAAAAATACAGCTAACGAAATGATTTCAGAATCCCCAATAACCCTTAAGTCAATTTCTATAATACTGAGGTGACCTCAATAACAACTGTAAATCACTAGTTTTCGACTGTTAAATGAAAATGTTTGACTCTTCTAGTGTTTCAGCAGTGTCGTTTTCAAATGTAAAACTCTGAAATTAAAATCCTAAATCAAAGCTTATCTACTGTTAGGTCTAGCTGTCTCGACAAAATATTATATTTTTAGAAACTTTGGTAGCAACACACATGTGATCAAACACTTGGAAATACAAGAAGCATACAGAATCCTTTGTAATTTTTTGAAGTCGCCTATTATGATGTTTAAAGCTAGAATTGTCAAACTGAGTGTTTGTGAGTATTTACACCTGCACAGTTGGTATTCATTAACTTTCATAAACAATGCTTTTTTCAGTGAGTGTCATTAATTGCGTCAGCGTCTTCCCAATTTCTTTTGTTGTAGCCTCAAGAATGAAATGTCAAGGCTCTATTACCAGTGTTATTACTCAACAAAGAATCACAATCATTGAGTCCAAACTGATTCCAGTTAGAATTATGGATGAAATACAAAACAACAAACAACCGAAAAACCGACTTCCTAAATGAAGAGAATGAACGTTCCAACCGAACAAAGGACACTCCACTGTCTGCTGTCAGGCATACTAAGAAACTTGAAAGGTGATAGCTAAACGCATCAAAATAAGTGAAGCTTCCTGAAGTTGAAAAAGGCGAAATTCAGACCATGTTTATCAGCACTATAGAGCAAACGAACATATGATCCTGGAAGGAAAGAGGGAAAATTCGTATTTTGTATGCAACAATAAGAAAAAGAAGCGAATTTTAGAAATTAGGAGTAATAACTTTGTACCTAAGGAACAACAAAGAGTTTCCTTATTGCAGGTGCAAAAACTGTAATTAAAACTCTGACTTTCAACATCTGAGTATATCAAGGCTAACAGCGATCTCTTGTTGCAAGGTACTTCCATCAAACAAGAATACGAACAAGGAGTGTGATCGTGTGATTAGTAACAGATATCGCTGAAGAACAACATCACTAGCATCAGTCTTGAGAAGAGCCTGCGACAATTAAAATGTTGTCTCACAAACATGGATAGACTAAAATCAATTCTGTCACCATCAGTGTTTGCTGTTCAGAAACTTGACCATTTTGGTGTTAGTGCCTTTTAAAGTGACGTTCAGATCATAATTATGTGCTCAAAATTTGACGTTGAAATTCTGCTAGAAAACGCTAGTTCAACAAGTAGTATGTACAAGTATGGGGGAGAATTAGAGTCGATGAAATTCTCCAAAAATAGGAATGAGATTTGATGAAGTATAAATTTCCAGACGGAATATAATTTAACAGGAATAGGCTAGTAATTAGAAGAGTGCAGTAATCCAAGTCTCTTGATGATAAGACAGTAAGACATGCATTGGGTTTAGAACACCGATCGGAAATAAGCAAACATTATGCTAAGGATAATAATTTCTTATATGGACGAACAATGAGAGTTTCAACTTTGAAACCCGAGTGATCTCGAATTAAATCACGTCTCTTTGCACTTTGGTGTGAGATAATTTTGCAACCTAATTTGTGTGATGAGACCAATTATTGAACAGAATATTTTGCTGTTCTAAAATCTATCTATCTCTGTAATAGCCATGGAAAATGAGTTTCAGGTACATTACAAAACCGCTAGAGAATGGCATTTAGTATTGGAACAGGAAAATGGAGAAAAGAAATCTTTCTTGGGATTCGGCATCTACTTCGTTAGCTTAGAAAATCACCGTCACCAAATGTTTGCTCATACGGAACTGCGCATCTCTGAGGAAAACCAGAGATTCTATGTTATTCAAACTATATTTTATTGACCTTTTAGTTCGAAAACATCCATCTTTATTTGCTTATCAATCATAGTATACAAGTTTCTTGATGGTGGGGTTGGTTACATCAAATGTACACTGAAATATTTGTACTTAAATATTTTACTGAGATTTAGAAATTTGGAGAATTATTCTGTACGGTTTCATTTTCAAAAAACGAAGGTTATGCAGCAATTTTTATCAGTAAAGGGCGGTGGAGACTGCTAAGTTTCCTTGAAATCATAAAACGACTGAAGTCAGATCACCAAGGGAAACCTGGAAGCACTTGATTTCCGTTTCATTCTCGTGTGGTTAGCGTTGGAGCTTCAGACAGAAGGTTTTGAGTTCGACACCTGCACACTGGATCGTGGATGGGCACTCTTCTTGAACCCCATACTAAGACGAAACGGCTGGTTAGCGGCTTCAGGTTTCCAGTGTCGATTTAACACTATTCAGTTTGTGATTTAACTAACATTTAGGTATGATCGATCTCAGTGCCATAGTAGGTACACAAAGTAAATCATTAAATGTGAAAATGATAATCATTACAGGACACATATCCCAATAAATAAATAGTTTTAACTTTGTAATTCCATTGTTAGAAGGTTTCACAGAATCTGACCTTAAGATTTTTCAAGGCTACACATTGGTGGTTAATTCAAAGTTTCTCACAAAATGTATGGAAATGAAGGGATGGAAAAACTTATTCCGCTTGTTAATAAGCTTCAGGATGCATTTGCATCACTCAACCTTCCACTAAATCTTGATTTACCTCAGATCGCAGTTGTTGGAAGCCAAAGTGCTGGTAAAAGCTCAGTATTGGAAAATTTTGTGGGACGGTAAATTTGAAATAACATAACACTTTTTTTTAAGTGATTTTCTTCCTCGAGGAAGCGGTATAGTCACAAGAAGGCCGCTCATTTTGCAGCTCGTTCATGACAAGTCAGGTAGGATATCATACGTCGTAATATAAATCACTTGTAACCAGTTGAGTATGGGGAGTTTATTCACTGTAAAAACAAAAAGTTCACAGATTTTGATGACATCCGGCGAGAAATCGAACAGGAAACAGACAGAGTTACTGGCTCTAATAAAGGCATCTCAAACATTCCGATCAACCTCAGGATTCATTCTCCTATCGGTGTGTTGTAATTATTTTGACCTTAGCCTCCATATTTTACAGTTCTTAATCTTACACTTATCGACCTTCCTGGAATGACGAAGGTTCCTGTAGGTGATCAGCCGCCGGATATTGAAGCTCAAATTCGTAACATGATAATTGAATTTATCGAGAGAGATTCTTGTCTTATTTTGGCTGTCAGTCCTGCTAATTCAGATCTTGCTAACTCTGATGCTTTAAAACTTGCTAAAGAATATGATCCACAGGGTCTGCGAACTATCGGCGTAATAACAAAGTTGGATCTCATGGATGAGGGCACGGATGCACGGGAAATTCTTGAAAATAGACTACTCCCATTACGAAGAGGTAATTTTTTGTTTACTGTTTGTTTTAGTTTATATTTTATTACAAAGTAAATCGTAACATTCTAGAAATTAGCTTTTTCTCGCTACAAAACTACAGCACTTTTACCCATCTTAATTACTAGCTTTCTAAAATGCCTCAATCAACTAGCATGTTAAACTTTTTTATTTTCCTTATTATCAATTATGGCTAGTTAGATCTTCAAAAACAGGGTGTAATTGCATCATATTGATCATGTACATTTTATTCATATTCATGAGAGCGTCTCACTAGTGAGTGCCTTTAGGTTACCAGGACATTTATCTGTTGTACAAATGGATTTTAGTCCTCGTAGCTGTGGTTCGCTTGTTATGTGGTTTTAATTTGCCATGTATGTCATTTTTATTCGTAGTTATCTCATTTAAACATACTGATGATCTCTGAAATCGTGGCACTTTTTGATCAACTGGTCATAAATCTTCATGTGAAGGTCTTAAAAGCCAATCATACTTTAAATCCCACTCTACCAGTAAAAGCTATCTTTTTATTTCTTTGTGAGTATTAGTCCTTCACATGTTCGACTTGTTTGTCAGAATCAGTTGCAGAGATATCTTATTTACTTTAAATTACTGATTATATAACTTGAGAATCAGACACTTAATATATTTTGACGAAACACTCAAATTTATTGTTCTTTATGCAAGCCTCATATACTCGCACTCGTGAGTGGCTTTTCAACTATGAATATGTTGTTGCTTCGCTTTCCTCAGTACACACAACTTTCATTGCTTTAAATTTGATCAACTTCTAGCCTAAAAAATTCACTATTTCGTAAGGTTACCGGCTATTTAGAGACCATAGCCCTTCTTAACAAATCAGGAGTCAAGAGTTGTTTCACGCACTTTTGAAATCGAAGTTTTGTTCCTAGTAATAATAAGTTACCCAAAGTAACTTATACACTGACACAAAATGCTCAGTAAATAGATAAAGCCTTCCACAAGTGTGTTTGCCCAAGTATTACAATGAGATGAAAATAGCAAAGGAAATTTAAATAATGTGGTGGCAGTAATACAAATAAAAATTAAACCTCGAAAATATATTTTGAAAAAACAGGAGTGAATACGTATGTATGAAAGGATACTTCAGCTCATAATTTAGAGGATGGAAATAATTCATTTCTGCCATTTTGAGCGATTCTGAGCCATGTAGTTAAACGAAGCAAAAAGGAAAAAACATCTGTGTGGATCTTGGAGTGCCGCGACTCAAAGATCAGATAATGGTAACCGTCTGCTGCAACTGTGCTCATGTAACCGCCTATTTCTGGCAAACAGCAACTTTAAGCTTAAGGAAAAACATCTTTTGATATGGCGACCACCAAAGTCTGCTCAACGCTGGCTTTAAATAGACCACATTGCCATCAGAGACCGGTGGAGAGGCTCGACATGACTGCTGCTCGTTGTGAGGCACAAGTTTAGATTCATACCATGCTCTAGTACGACCTGACAGTTACGTTTCTGTGCTGACGTGGTATGGCAACCTGAATTGATGTACTTATGCAAAACCAAGAGAATCTTTCATGAGCAACGAGGAAATCAATTAGGCAGTCATGTAAGTGATGCCCGACCAGAAACAGCTTAGAATGCCATGCAAAGAGCTGTGGAAAAAGCAGTGGTATATGCCAGTAAAGTAAACCATAAAGTTAAGTAGAAGCAGTGGATTTCAGTAGCATATAGCAAACAGATAAGTGCTCGGAAACTCGTCCCGTATGGCTCTGAGCATGATGCGGAGTGGAGTCGGCTTAAGCACAAGCCGATAAGAAGCCTATGCAATGATCATAAACAGTGATGCGTAGCGAAAGCAAGAGCAATGGTAGCAGCGGTAAGTAACAGTAGATTTATCAAGGAGACTGGTATTAGGAATCCGAATCTGAGTGAGACTCGGAAAAAGATAGGACTATTATCCATTCTCAACTCCGCCAGTAGAACCTTCGGGGCTACTGCCGGTCCCAAGCCCGGGTAAAGGAGGAGGGTTGGACATGGGGTTGGCGACCCCATTCCATCAAAAACTAACTTGCCAAAAAAACGCTAACCAGAAAAAATAATTCAAACCATTTTAACTCTGCCCTGGGAGTTGGAGGAAGAATTATGACGTCGCGTGATGAAAGCCGAGTTCCCTCGGAAGTCACGGGGCTGATGCCTCTTCTGACAACCAGAGCAACCATTTTTTTAGGTACATGGAACGTTCGTACATTGTGGGAGACTGGAAGACTATTTCAAGTTGCGGCAGAAATGAGAAGATACAACCTCGAGGTGCTTGGAATCAGTGAAACACATTGGACACAAGTAGGACAACTGAGACTAGCTTCAGGGGAACTGCTGTTATACTCTGGTCATGAAGAGGAAAATGCTTCACACACACAAGGAGTTGCATTGATGCTGTCCAAACATGCACAAAAGGCACTAATAGGATGGGAATCTCATGGACCCAGGATCATTAAAGCATCCTTCAAAACAAAGAAAGAGGACATTACAATGAACGTCATCCAATGTTATGCACCTACCAATGACTACAATGATGACGACAAAGATCAATTCTACGAAAGGCTGCAGTCAATCGTCGATAAATGTTCACCAAAGGATTTGACGATTCTTATGGGAGACCTGAATGCCAAGGTTGGAATGGACAACACTGGATATGAAGACATCATGGGACGACATGGACTGGGAGAAAGAAACGAAAACGGTGAGAGATTTGCAAACCTATGTGCCTTCAACAAACTGGTCATCGGTGGCACAATATTCCCGCACAAACGCATTCACAAAGCCACATGGATTTCACCGGATCACACTACTCAAAACCAGATTGATCATATCTGTATCAACAAAACGTTCAGAAGAACTATGGAGGATGTGAGAACCAGGAGAGGAGCTGATGTAGCCTCAGATCACCATTTGCTAATCGCCAAAGTGAAACTGAAACTAAAGAAGCACTGGACAACGGGACAGACAACATCACACAAGTTTAATACGGCCTTTCTTCGGGATACTGTAAAGCTCAACGAATTCAAGATAGCCCTCACCAATAAGTTCCAGGCCTTACAGGATCTACACAATGGAGAGGACACAACATTGGAGAACAATTGGAAAGGGATTAAGGAGGCAATCACTTCAACATGTCAGGAGGTCCTTGGTCGCAAGAAGCAGCATCATAAGGAATGGATCTCTGTTGATACTCTCGCAAAAATTGAAGAAAGGAGGAACAAGAAGGCAGCAATCAATGTCAGCCGAACAAGAGCGGAGAAAGTTACCGCACAAGCTGCATACACAGAAGCAAACAGGGAAGTGAAGAAGAGCATCAGAGCTGACAAACGAAAATACGTGGAAGATCTAGCAATGACGTCGGAAAAGGCTGCAAGAGACGGAAACTTGAGACAATTGTATGAAACTACAAAGAAGCTCGCCGGGAACTATCGTAAACCACAACAACCAGTGAAAAACAAGGAAGGCAAAGTAATCAGCAACACTGAAGAACAGCGAAATAGGTGGGTAGAGCACTTTAAGGAACTCCTAAATCGACCAGCTCCTCTGAAGACACCCAACATCGAAGCAGCATCCACGGACCTCCCAATTAATATTGGCGCACCTACGATTGAGGAGATCAGTATGGCCATCAGACAAATCAAGAACGGCAAAGCAGCAGGACCAGACAACATTCCAGCAGAGGCAATGAAAGCAGATGTAGAAGCAACCGCGAAAATATTTCACATCCTCTTCAAGAAGATTTGGGATGAGGAACAAGTACCATCAGACTGGAAGGAAGGATACCTGATCAAAATACCAAAGAAAGGCGACCTCAGCAAGTGTGAGAACTACAGAGGCATCACTCTTCTTTCAATACCAGGCAAAGTCTTCAACAGGGTATTGTTAAACAGAATGAAGGACTTCGTTGACGCCCAACTTCGAGATCAACAGGCCGGATTTCGGAAGGATCGATCGTGTACTGACCAAATTGCTACATTACGGATCATTGTGGAACAATCAATTGAATGGAACTCACCACTCTACATCAACTTCATTGACTACGAGAAAGCATTCGATAGCGTGGATAGGAAAACACTGTGGACTCTTCTTCGACACTACGGGGTGCCTGAGAAAATAGTTAACATCATACGGAACTCTTATGATGGATTCAACTGCAAAATCGTGCACGGAGGACAGCTAACCGACTCTTTCGAGGTAAAGACCGGTGTCAGGCAAGGTTGCTTACTTTCACCCTTTCTCTTTCTCCTGGTCATCGACTGGATTATGAAAACGTCAACATCTGGAGGGAAGCACGGTATCAACTGGACAGTTAGGACGCAGCTGGACGATCTGGACTTCGCAGATGATCTGGCTCTTCTATCGCACACTCAACAACAAATGCAAGAGAAGACGACCTGTGTAGCAGCAGCCTCTGCAGCAGTAGGTCTCAACATACATAAAGGAAAGAGCAAAATTCTCCGATGCAACACAACATGCACCAATCAAATCACTCTTGATGGAGATGCTTTGGAGGACGTTAACACCTTTACATATCTGGGCAGCATCATCGACAATCAAGGTGGATCGGATGCAGATGTGAGGGCACGGATTGGCAAAGCAAGGGCTGCATTTCTACAGTTGAAAAATATCTGGAACTCCAAACAGATATCAATCAACACCAAAATAAGGATTTTCAATACAAATGTCAAGACAGTTCTATTGTATGGAGCGGAAACATGGAGAACTACCAAAGCCATCATCCAGAGGATACAAGTGTTTATTAACAGCTGTCTACGCAAAATACTTCGTATTCGTTGGCCAGACACCATCAGCAACAACGAACTGTGGGAGAGAACAAGTCAGATTCCAGTGGAGGAGGAAATCAGGAAGAAGCGGTGGAAGTGGATAGGACACACTCTACGAAAAGCACCTAACTGCCTCACGAGACAAGCCCTCACATGGAACCCTCAAGGCAAAAGGAAAAGAGGAAGGCCAAAGAATACATTACGCCGTGAAATAGAGAAAGATATGAGAGGAATGAACAAACATTGGACAGAACTGGAGGAAGAAGCCCAGGACAGAGTTGGTTGGAGAAAACTGGTGGGCGGCCTATGCTCCATTGGGGGTAACAGGCGAAAGTAAGTAAGTAAGTAAGTATTATCCATTCTCATTCCAGGGGATTGGATCGATGGACAACACTTTGGGGACTAGCTCAAGTGGCCTTCAGTCACACTTCGGTTAATCACGATCTCCACTTAACCTAACTGGCAAGTAAGTCCCCTAACTCCTAACGAGACTAAAAGGGCTATAGGAGATCTAAAACGAAGGAGAGCAACAGGACCTGATTGGCTAATCCCTGAGAATCTTAGGAATAGTGTTCCAGTTCTAGCAGTTAGATTGACTGGGATTTTAGTTAGGATTTGGGAACTAGACATAATCCCGTCCAACTGGTCCCAATCACTAATTGTCCCGGTCTATAAACATGGACAAAAGTCATCTTGTGATAATCACAGAGGAATCATTTAGACTAATTTAGTGTCTAAAATGTTAGTATCAATAGTACTTTCACGCCTAACTAGAGCTCGTAGTTAGCGGACTTGAGAAAATCAGGGTGATTTCGAACCTAGACGTGGATGTATAGACCACATATTCACACTCCTTCAGGTCCTAGTACATATACACACATTCAGATGTCCAACAATAGTGTTATTCCTAGAACTTAAGGCTGCATTTGAATCTGTTGATCGTGAGGTTCCTTGACAGTGTTTGTCGCTGAAAGGAGTACTAGAGAAGTACATTAACCGTATATAGGCTCCTTACTCAGAGCTGATGGTGAACTGTCAGTTAATTAGTTCGAGTGGTGTTTGTCGGGGTTATTCTCTTTCTCCATTCTTATTCAACTTCGTAATTGACTTAGTGTTACTGATGATACTTTCATCATCTGACTTTTCAGTTGACCTTCTACCAGGAGGCTCGCTTGTTGACTGTGAATATGCCCGATAACGCTGTTCTACTTGAAGATGCAGACAAAATGTAGTCTTAAGTAGCAATACAGGAACGTTTGGGATACGATTCTCTCCCTTGAAATGTACAATGTTGCTTCAGGATTGGCTTGCATCGGCACCTGCATAAGTGATAGGGAGTAAAGTAGTTGAGCATGTTCACCCTTCACTTATCTGGGGAGTCTCATCAGTGCTGATGGCCCGGTGACTGACGAAATCTCAGCACGGATACAGAAGGCTCGATTGGTTGTGCCAACTTGCGTCACTTATGATGTCTGCGAGATTATCCGTCTAATAACACAAGGATGAGTTTACTGCACAGCTGTTTGCTCCGTTCTACTTCTGGGATGTGAAACATGGCCAGTAAGAGTAGATTATATTCGTTGGTCGCTAGTACTCGATCATAGGTATCTTCGAAGCATTACCTGTATATCCTGGAACCAGTGAGTAAGTAATGCTGTTGTTAGGAAAACGGCATTATGTAAATATGACAGGTAAATTGACAAAGTGGTGAATCTTTATCAGTCGAGGTGGTTGAGACTTGTGTTACGCATGCCTGACCACCGACTGCGAGATAATCGTAACCGATGGTTAGAGACTTTGAATGACATGGCTCAAAATCGTTTGCAGTGTCGCAAGTGTATCAATTCTGTGTTCTCTCAAATTCTAATCTTTCAAATGCCTCGCGACCGCTTCTTTTCTTTTCGAATATATTTCACTGTATTATACTTCTCGAATCATATCTTCGATACCTAATATTTCCGACTGCTGATTATACTTCTACATCTACCACTATGAGATCCGAATTGACAATTTGTGGTATGGCAACTGAAACTGATGTACTCACCTACCAAGTTCTATGTTGTAGCTGACTGACTGAACATGAGATCTTGGGACGCAAAGTAGCTGTATTGAACTGGAATTTGTTGGTTCATCACTTCCTGGATGCAGTTCTAGAGATCATACAGCTTTAGCTATTTTGAACGTCACTAAACATGTCTTAGGAAAAAACCCAATGGCGATTATGCCGTAATGTATAAATAAAATAGGACATTTCAACATAATGAGATTTCGTAGTTGTTGTTTTAATCAAGTATCTTTCAATATATAACACAAACATTCAACGTTTTATCAATCACCAGCCTCTCTCGTTTTCTTCGTGACACTATCGTATGCGACCCATGATCCGCTGAAACTTTTAAGTTATAAATAAATAAAAATGAGTAAATTGCTTTTCGTTATTCTTTTCTGCGAAATATGTTTTACATTCCATCTTAAATTATTCTACTTTATAAATAGTTGCCTTCTGGTAACTTGTAATGTCACTTACCTTGTTAATTACTTCTCTAGATAGTACTCAAAAATTTGGCAACGGGAACTAGCGGGTAAATCCTCAGGGTTCTATTCCAGGTTGATCAGCCATTGCTTTGTCTTAACTTAGTTGTAGATTGCCTTTCATATTTTTAGGTTTTCGGATCTAGCCACGATATACTAAACACATATTTATTACTATAGAGAAGTACTATCAGTTTCAGTATTATTTAGTATCATCATTTCAGGGTTAGTGGGTTTTGTTTGTTTGTTCGTACATTTTACCATCTCACCTTACCTACCGAGAATTCATCCAAATTGTTGTGTTGCACTTGGTTACTTAAAGCTTTTTTTTTATCTAATCTTCTTGCTTGTGTAGGTTATGTAGGTGTAGTCAACAGAAGCCAGCGAGACATAGATGGGCGCAAAAATATCAGTGCTGCCTTGGAGGCTGAACGCAGATTTTTCCTTTCACATCCTAGTTATCGTCATATGGCCGATCGTATGGGAACTCCTTATCTTCAACGAATACTGAATCAGCAACTGACAAATCATATTCGCGAAACTCTGCCGCATCTACGTAATCGCCTACAGACCCAATTAATTAGTTTGGAAAAAGATGTTTCCGACTTTCGTAATTATCATCCAGACGACCCAGCTTATAAAACAAAAGCATTGCTACAGTAATTATTTTTTTTATTATTTCGATATAAAACAATTTTATGATTTATAATTAGACCTTATAACTATGTAATTTTTTAAATGGTTCTCTGCTGATCAAACAACTGTCCTAATTCAATTTTGCCAGTAATTTATTATTCTGATTTTGAGTTTGTTACATCGTCTAGCGGAAACCTAATTGCTATCCGGTTCATTTTATTTTATACTTGCCTACTTACGCCTGTTACACCTAATGGAGCATAGGCCACTGACCACATTTTATCTCATAGCCTGATATAAACCAGATTTCGATTCAAAAAAGTACCACGTTTTTATTCTTTTCTCACCCAGCTGATGACTAAGTTTATTTATTCACAGCGCACAGCTAATGCAGACGACACGAGTTCGCGAAACGTCATTCGTTAAAAAGTAGTAAAATGAAAAAAGACAGCCTATGTAAACCACCAAGTTGGTTTGTACTGACTTAAAATGTTGATATTGTTACTAGTATGGCTGTTTTTTATGACTGAGAAATAATCTTTTATTTCCTTACTGGTTTGGCTCAATACAAGAAATCAAGACTGTAGTTAAAGACTCATTGATGTACCAATCAATAGTTCACAACTGATCACAATCTATAATGTTATACATCATTTTACAATTCCGGTCAATAGATAAATTTAATTGCAATAAGCGAACAGTAGTTAACATTAATTAATCAATAATTTGATGTAATTATATAGTTTAAAAAGTCAATGGAGTAACCGATTTAACTAGCAAATATGACTAAACTACTCAGGTATGTATTTTGCATGATCTTAATAGGTTCACTGCAAAATTTTCCAGTAATTCTGTTTCGTGAATGTGAAGAGCTTTCAAAAGTTTTTCCTTGTTCTTAATCCTTTAATTGCTCATTCCTCATTCACCGAACATCGTTCGTGTTCAACTATCGATAAGTACCTATGAAAAATGACTTGACCAACACCTTTGACGAGCGCTGATGGTCTTCTACAGTGATTTATTTTTCTTCTTTGATGTCTTCGTCTTAAAATTCAAAAAGTACCTGGTAATTGAAACCTGTTCAATACTACTGTTGATAGCAGTAAAGATAAGTTCATTAAATGAATGTATCCAAAAATCCAGGCTTTAGTTATTTGGTAACTGACTAATTTGTTCATACGTAGAAGTACACTTGAGATTATCTCAGTCTTCTCTACTGTACAGTATCTAAAGTATCACTAAGTACTGTGAATATTCAGAAAATCCTTGGGTGGATGAATGTTCAAATTAAAAAATTTATTTTTAAACCGATTTATCTTACTAGATTGCATTGTTGTTATGAGGTACCACCTTAATGAGTATTCAGAAGTTAACTTCGAAGTAGTGGAGTGTTGAGACTAGTTATGAAGTTCACCCAAGTTCAAACCCCTCTGCACCTACTTCATGTTCCCAACCGGGTTGTATCACCTATCCCCACACTTGGAATGCAACTCATAATCAAGTACATGAATGCCTATCAGTGCTAATACAACTTGAATGACTAAGTAAAGATCGGTATAATGAAGTTCAAACCATTTTATTGACTCTGATCACTTGATTCGTTGCATTTCAAGTGAAAAACAGAATTTTTGCAATATTTGAAATTTAAATTTTTAAACTAATCAACACCAGCTGTTCTTTCTACTCTTTTTTATGATTACATTATCTTGTCAGGATGGTTCAATCATTTGAAGCAGAATTCTCCCAAAATATTAGTGGACATGTAGCTGATGTTGATACACAAACACTATCTGGAGGCGCTGAGATTAATCGCGTGTTTCATGAACGTTTTAGATATGATTTACTCAAGGTAAGATAGATTATATGATGAATTTAATAGATATTCAAATTCAAGTGTATTATGCACATGTTGCACTTGTTTTGTAAATTGGTATTTGCATATAAAACATAGATTCATGTGTTAGTGTTTGATTTTAAACTGAGTATATCATTCAATATTTATTTATCAAGTAAAGCAGTTTGGTTTTTCTAATAAGTTTATATAAAGAGGTGATCTGGCGAATTTTGATTTTTAAGCATCATTCCGTACGAAATTTTACCATGACTTTTTCAGAAGGCATTTCACATCAACCTAGCTTACCAAATTATATTCTGAAAAAATTTCAAATATCCATTTTTATGGACGTTAAATAATTTTGAATGCAAGCATGAATAGATTTTGTAGGTCTATTGAATCATGTGATGCGATTTACTAATCCATGTAATTGGTTTGTAACATAATCGTTGCTTATGAGATACACAGGAACAATTTATCTGTTACTCTTGCAATTTGCTTGTTATCCATCTGTATAATAACCGTAATCAATGACTGAAGATGTTGGTTTGGGTGAATTGAAATCTGTTCCAGTAGCCAAGATGCATTCGCTCTTATTCTTACTTTGGACTTTGAGATTCAGTAATTCTTCATCGATGCCTTTTCACTGTTCATCTTGTGTATTTGATTTCGTTTTGCTGAAGTGATATGGCTACTGGGATTGGCGCAGATTTGTAAAACATTTGTCACTAGTGGCATCGAGTAATCGTTGTGCTTTTTCCCCCACTGCAACTGCACAATCGTAGGCTGACTCAATGGTTTTGGGTTCGAGGTGGTCGTGGTTTACGCACCCCAAGGAGTCCCATAATAGAACGGAATATCTTTTCAGTCCTCCCTGTTTCTCAGTGGCACCTCAAATGAGATTGATCCGTGATAAACACTGCCTACTAGTTCAGAATTTTCTCATTCTGTTTCAATAAACCATATTTTTGTATTTCATTATTTAAACTTATTTTTTCTCACATAGAAGTGTGCATAACCTTAAACTCATATAAACATAATGGAATGCAATGAGGCCAATTATTCCAATATTTACGTGTAAATTCTTGCTTTTTAGCACATTTAACATCAACCGATACTTATTACATACGTCACTCATTTTCACTCTAAAGCTCAATAAATTCACTTCTATTCATAATATGGTACTCAAATTCAAGATCCAGAACTTTCACGATAGGTGTTCGAGTTGATGAATTCATTGCGTTTCTTACAACTTCATTAAGAGATAATTCTTCTTCTTCTTCATTATATATATATATGTTAACAAATGAATATATTACTTCTCTGCATCCAGTTTTATAATTGAAATATGGTAGTAAAAGAACCACCGGAATCATCAACAAAAGAAATCTATGTCGAACAGTTCACTTATTGAGATTTTACCGTTCTATGTTTACATCATCCCAACCATGAGTTTCTTTAAACAGTGGATAACTTGGTATTTTACATAATTGTTAGGAGCCCACGAGAATTGTTCTACAAAGTCTTCTGAAGTTGGGAAAAGGCTGAAAACTCTTCATTATAGAGTTATGGAGATTGTTGTTTCACATTGAAATCATCAATCAATCATTTTCAGACAACCATTAGAAACCAGGAAGCTTTTGACTATTGTTTCGTCCTGCTGTGAGACTTAGCAGCGCGCAGGGATCGAACCCAGGACCTTCGGCCTCGCATGCGAATGCTCAACCTGTAGACCGCTGAGCCGGCCTCCAATGGTGTTAATGTCTGTAATCAATCCAAGGTATTACGAAACCACACCCATTGTCTTCGGCGGGTAACTGCTTACACTCGACAGGGTGGGACTCCACTGGTCATGGCTCCTTACCAGAACTCCGAGGATTCCCTCATGAAGCTAGTCACTAGTGTAAGCGCGTTCCCGCGAACGGGGGTCGTAGATACGCACTGCTGAGGAGTCCCGTAATAGAACGAAACGGTTTCTAATGATAGGCTAACAATGATTTACTCATGACTTCACTGTGAGACAAAAATCTCCCTAATTCTATGATGAATATCATACAATGGGCTCACTAGTGACTAGCAGATTGCCAACCACTATGATGTCTCAAATTGTACTTTTTTTTACCTTCTAAAGTGATAGCTTGTAAACGTTTTATATACGCGCCTGAATATACTATGCGATTAATAGACATAACTAGAGTGTTATAACAAACAAAAAGAAGTAACTTGTTGAAATATATCAACGATCTTTGTAAATCATCTAATGAGCATTTAGTCTGTATGTGTCCTCATAGACGATAGATGAACATATCCTCATATATCTGTTGTGCAAAATTTATCTCTTATATCTGTAATAGCAATTAGACGTTATTGTTGTATTGTTTTATTTGAAGATTGAATTCGACGAAAAAACTCTGCGAAAAGAAATTGCTGTTGCTATTCAGAATATTCATGGTGTCAGGTAAATCATTTAATTTTTTGCAAAGGATGGGACAAGTAATAAATTTTGAAGGTTTTCGTGTTAATATAAACTGAACTTTATTATTTACATCTTACTCATTGTTTTATTGATTTTTATTAAATGTATATGCAGTAGATTACGTTTATTTAAATGGTCTTTCCTGAAAAGTTTACTGTTGACTATCGATTGATAATTTTATATTAAATAATGTAGTGAATAAATGAAGGCTTCGAATGTATTATTTGGACTGCAATAAAATGATAGATTATCTAATGTAATCTTAGCAAAAACTATCATATTACACGTAAATTTTCTAAGTTGATTCAGTCTCAATCCATAGAATGTCATCATGATTAGAAATTACAAGTTTGACATTTAGTAACGTTTGACCTAGTCTTACAATATACCATTCACCGTCCAACTAATCTCAATATTAAATGATACAAAATTAAATATCCAGTTGTCGGTGTTTAAATTAATTCATTATTCACTATTGAATACTGTCTAACCTGAATGGAATCAAGATATTAGACAAGATATTGTGTTTGATATTGAACATAGAAATCGATTGAAGAGGTGAATTTACTTTCATACTTTTATAAATGAATGCATTATGAATTGTCATGTACTGGTTTACCTAAATCGTACTTAACATATATACATGTATATATGCTGTATAAAGATGGGTTAAATTTATTGGTATTCAATGAAAGAAAACTATGAAAATTATAATTAGTAGTAGTATTAGTATCAATAGTGGAATCGTTATTATCGTGTCAATTTAGTAATTTATGCTTAATTGTTTATTTAATACAAAGGCCTGGATTATTCACACCTGATATGGCATTCGATGCTACAGTTAGAAAACAAATCGAAAAGCTTCGTATCCCATCATTAAAATGTGTTGACATGGTTGTATCTAAATTGACCGATGTTTTACAACAATGCAGTGATAAGGTGAGTAAACATGATTTGATTGTACAAATGAAAGCATACATTTAAAATTCATTTGTTTGGTATTCAAATATTTAATAAAGAAATATGCTTATGTTTATTATACAAGTGACAAGCATTGGTTTTGTAGAAAAGAAGTCTAAGTGATATCATAAGAATCCTTGAATGTGTGTTTTACTTTAGTTTAAATTTGGATTCTTGTTACAATGGTTGAAGTAATTTTGATGCCGTTCAGTTTCGTTTGATTTTTTTTAACTGTCAAGTTTTCGTGTGTTTACAATGATTTAAAAGGTTGATTATCTTTTAATTTGATACATCATTAATTAATGACCGGTTGCCAAAATGGAAAGGAAATTTTATTAAAATAGGTAGCTGATATCTTGATTTCTCTACGTTTACATGATAAGCTTTATTCAAAAATTTGATGAAAATGTACTTCTCTATATTCATATTAACTTTTTCGTAAAATTAACGGTTTAATTATAAATATGTATCCACAACTCATAAATCTGTTGTAAGGTTAGTTAGTTTTTATCAGCTTTTAAATCAGTCTCTTAATTGTTCCCCAGTTATGATGAAAAGACGTTTATTGCAATCTAGAAATGCGTTTTTCAGTCCTTTTGTTATGAAAGCGTTATTTAGAAATAAAGTTGCTAAAGTGACTGCACATTCCATTAGCCATATCGGTAGTTGTCGACTACCTGGTTGGGGACCGCGAAATGATAATAATCGATGGTTAGAGATCCTAAATGACACGGCTCAAAACCGTTTGCAATGGCCCGGTGCATTTATTCTTTGTGTTCTCTCAAATCCTAATCTTCTGGATTCTTCAACCCCTCTAGTTTTGACTTTCTAAACGTTTCTCACTGAATCACAATTCTTGAATAATATCTTCTAATCCTAACCTCTCCGATTACTTCTATTACCTTTACTACCTCTACTACTATTGGATTTGAATTGACAATTATATCTCTGTGCTGATGTGGTATGGCAACATGAACTGATGTACTTACGTACGAAGTTCTACGCTACATCTGACTGACTGACTGACTGTACATTCCATAATTCTCAGGATATTTGTACTAAGTAATCCAGATACACACTGTTCAGCATCGCTTAATAACACAGTGGAAAAGTTTATCTAACAGTTTCGTACAAAATCGTACTACATAATTTTATAATTTACAGTTGGTCAATGTTTGTGTTATATCTTGATACAAACAATTACGTAATGGAACTTGCGGCTGCCCTACGGAACTTGTGGATTACAAAACGATTAAGCTGTTCTAATGGAGACGGTTCTATTGCTGCGAACTGGTTAACGACAGTTGGCAAATAAAACCGACAGTCAGCCGCTTACACCTCAGAATGATAAGTTACAAAAATATCAGTAATGGTAATATTACTAGTATTAGTAAGTTACATATATACACATAGTTATGCAATCATGACCTTGGAGCACAAACAAATTTAACAAATAGTGATGACTAATCAGAAAAGTTGAATGTCGTGATATAAATTCACTCAGGAAGAAGCACTCACGGTTACCGTTATTAGTAAGGGTTTAACATTATGTACAAAAATTGGGTAGCTCAGTGATTACTTTATCTCATATCCCCTGAATATGCTCAAAATTTGGAAGCCTTGCATCCGTCAAACTTTAGAACTCTTACTGTTCTTCATTCCAGTGGCTAATCTATTAGGTAATATGTAATCAGTTATTCATAATAGTTTTTAGTATACAACAGCTAACCATATCATTGGATAGTGGTTTATTTACTCATCTTCAAAATAATGTTTCATAGTTATATCAACTCCGTAACTCTTTCCTAAACTAATTTGCATCAATCTTTTAAGTAAAGAAGCTTTTATTTAATTACCCTACTACCACCTAGTGAAAACTTAAGTCTTTGTTTATTGAAAATAGAATTCAAGTTTCGAAAACTGCTTGCTTGCTCAATTGGATTTCTGTATGAATTTTTTACAAGTCATATGATCTAGATAAATCACATACTGAACGCTTATTTATTCCTTTTCATGCTAATTTATATTAAATCGATTATGTGTTTCGTTCAATAATTAATCAATATATAATGTATCACTTATCGATTAGTGTATACGTTCTTTATCTTTGTTCATCAATAAGTTTAAATCAATAAATATGTGAACTTGATCTGTTTCACATTGTTTATCTTACATAGATTTCATAATAATTGATTTTGTATCAGGCATTGTTCTTCATGTTCATTTTGATTCAGTCGATTAAACACAATATAAAACTTGACACATGTATGTATTGGTTAAAATTGCAATTCCACAAAACAACGAGATGCTAGGTTAACATATATATAGTAACAATATTACTGGTAACAAAAAAGATTCAGCAAAAAAGATATAAGTTGACAATAAAATTATGATTTGTATGATTACTGGATTTTTTCTAAGATGATCAGAAAAACTTATTATCTAAGGGAAAGCAAAGATTGCATTCACACTAAGCCATGATATCCAAAGTCCTTAACCATTAGTTTTGATTATTGTATAGATCTCAATCAAGTAATCTGCAGCTAATCATACTATTCAGTCCATATGTCATTGACTTCATGAATTGATATCTCGTCGTTACAGCATTTTTTTGATAGATAAGGTTAGGATTTCTGTATGACATATTCACGTTTAAAAGTATCAATATTCTTGTGTTAAAAAATCTACTGCAGCGTTATCATTCCTTTACATAGTACCCCATTCAATAAAAACCTACCAATGGAACTTTTTTTACATTGTACAACAATTCAAGAAGTAGTGGCTTAATGTGTTAAGCCCAGTAAGTCTCGAGTTCTAACTGTCCTCTTAATACTTCAATTTAGGAATCAATATGGTATCACTTAAATTCACATAAATCCCATAGGTTGTCTCTTAGTACATTAATGTATACTAACTTACTATACAAAATAGGCTTCATCGATTTTAAGATTGAAATGTTTTTAACAAACTAAAATGTAACCTTTATTTGATAGTGGGTCAGTTAGTTACAACGTAGAACTTTGCACGTGAGTACATCAGTTCAGGTTGCCATACCACATTACCACAGAGACGCTATTGTCTATTCAAATCCCGTAGTGGTAGAGATAGTAGAAGAATTACCGGTAATGGAGAGAATCAGGATTTGAAGGTAATATTCAAGAAGTATAATTCAATGAGATAAGTTTAGAAAGACGAAGGTAGAGGTGTTGACGAATCCAGAAGATAAGTTTTGAGATAACACAGCGAGTGGATGCACCTGCTCCATTGCAAACGATTTTGAGCCATGTCATTCAACGTCTCTAACCATCGGTGACTTTCGTCTCGCGGACCCCAACCAGGTAGCCTACATCTACCAACATGACTCAGCTCACTTGTCAATGACTTTTTGAACTTTTTCCATGTTTTGGTCTGGCCACCCCTAACTTTCTTCCAGCCTAAACCTATACCACAATATTTGTTTAAAATGCTGTACTATGACCCATACTTCTTGTATGTAAAGTTCTGTGATTGCATGGTAGTATTATTTTCTCAGTATACAAATTACTTATGACTGAATCAGCTTATTCTCTTGTTCATGACAAAATCAATGAGGTTTCATCACGTCGATCGTACAGATCACCTAAATGGATATAATAGGAATAGACGCAGACTATCTCAAGTGTGAAAACGAAATATCATAATGATAAACTCCTTTCAGAATTTTTACGAAAAAAAGAAGTATCTCGTAACAAAAAAAAACGAAAAGACTAATTCCGTATGAATGGAAGTAAACAATTATCATAGTAAAGTCGAACGATATTATTACTAATCCTGATAAACCTATACTTATTTGAAAAAATCTAAAGTAAACTGAAATTACATTTTTTTTCATTATCAAAAGAATTATTCGTTATTTACTTTGAAGCTTAAACAAATACTCGAAAAAAAGTTCCGATCACACAAACAACAAGTCAATAAAGTTTCTTCGTGTTTGTTGCTATCACGTTTATCTAAACTATAAATGGTTATTACATAGGTAATTGAAGAAACCTATTGTGTTATGGAATAAAAATAAACAGAATTCAGCAAAAGTATTTTTTTTTTCGTTGAGAAATCATTTACTTAACATGTACATTCCTATTTAAAGTTGTTTGATAACTTGTTTTGTATAAAAGGAGGATATTAATGACAACCGATTACGGTTGAAATCAACAAATAATGATAAAAACAAAAACAATACTAAAAACCTATTAAAAAAGAGGATTAAGGCTAAGGAAGAATGAGAAGTTAGACCTATCGTTTATGCATGGAGAATTTAGGCTTGAATTAGTTTATCGTCAACGCCTCAGCATCGCATAGGTTTTTGATTCGATCTCCCTTTGATCTAAATTACTTTAAAGGACAGCTTGTTTGGAGCAACGTGTCCAGACTTAATTAGATGTTCTTGTATCTAGTTGGTGGTGGCTTTTAAAAGCCACGCTAGGGAATGTTCTGAGACGCTTTTGGAAAGTGACCGCTTTGTGCAGTCAATGTAATCTACCCCATAGGAGCAAGTAAATTCGTAGATGTACATCGATGTAATTCAGAGCTGAAACTTATCCTTAACACATCTGTGAGTGTGTGAGTAAACAAAGATCAACTGAATAAAACGTTTTATTCAAGAATTTTGAAATCTTTTTAATCGAGATTTCAGCAACCATATCTCCTTTGAATTCGATAATGATAAAAAGAGTTTTCTTTTGAACTATCAGTGCCTCTCCAGGATGTAGCCTTGTTTTCAAGTTCCTATCCCATGACCATTTGTCGACGATGAAGTAGTTTGTACAAAAATAACACTTCCAAACTTTAAGCCTTGACCTTTATCCCCTTCTCCAATCTGTTTTTGGTCTTGTCTTGTTTTTATTATTATTTGTATATTTGAACCGTAATCAGTTATTACTACTGTATATCGATTTTCATGATTATTATTCAATAGTTGTTGCCACCTTCAAACTATTTTC